TTGAGACAGCTGAATCTCACATGGCCGACAGCACAGTTTGAATCCTGGACCAGACACATTGAAAAACATGCCAGGTTTGTATGAATGCATACCCAAACTCCCGCAAAGAAAACAGAGAAGGGATTATGGCATAGCCATCTATCTCTGGGGAGTTCTTCTCACTTTCCCTCTCTCTCTGCCTCACTTTCCCCTTCTCTCTCTCTGTCACTCTATCAAGCACACACATACACACACACACACACACATACACGCCCACAATGTAGCCCACAAAGACATACACTGATTATATATAAACCAGAAATCATAATTTAAAAAATAATAGTAAAAAGATGACAATAAGTAGCATACTATTCCACCTATCCAAGCCTTTATCAATCACTAAAATATCTTTCAGACAACAATGTTTTGTTTTAACATTTACTCATTTATTTATCTATTTATTTGTTGTGGTTTTCAAGCCACTGGATCTAGGACTCAAACTGCAGTCAGCCATATGGGAATCCAGTGCCTTACCCACCACACCACCCACTGGCCCTGATGACAATATTTTTAACACTGTCTTAAGGAAGGTAAATAATATAATACAAAATAAAGCTAGAATTTAGAAAGTTTACACCAAAGAAGAACTTAAAGGCAGGTTTATGGCATATACTCTACCATTTAATAGTTAAAAAAAAAAATTATTTTGCACCAACTAAGTACAAGACACTCTGCTAAGAATACAGAGTGAGAAATGATTAAGGCACAGCATTTACTTGGAATTGACCATATACTGGAAACAAAACTCAGTCACACAAATGAAAACAAGTGCAGGTCATAAACCTTATTATGTAGATACCAACTATGAAAACACAGGGAAATCTTTCCTAATGATTCCCAAGTTTTAATTTTTCCTTCTGTAAAGTGAAGAAGCTGTCTTGAATCCCTAAGGTCCCTTCAAACCCTAATATTTTATAATACCATGTATTTTAAACAATTCATTTCATTATTTTGGCAGCAGAGAGCTGAAAAACCTTTGCCTCTAATATGTTAGACACTTGTGTCAGAAAAAGCAAAAGCTTTTGAGCATTCAAATGCCTTTGTTTAGCAAGACAAAGATATTTTTGCAGATTAGCAATTGGGGAAGACAGAAAACCATTAGCTAAAACAAAGTGTGCTTAAGACAATAATCCCCAAAATAGACAGGTGGGATTACATTAGATTAAGAAGTTTCTGCGCAGCAAAGGACACAGCAATTAGTGTGAATCGACAACCCTTGGAATGGGAGAGAATTTTTGTTAACTATGCCTCTGATAAGGGACTGATAACCAGAATAAACAGGGAACTCAAGTGGCTTACACAGAAGAAAATGATTAACCCAATTAAAAGCTGGTAAAATGAGCTGAATAAACAACTCTCTAAGGAAAACATACAAACAGCCAAAAAGCATATGAAAAAATGCTCAGCATTCTTCATCACAAGGGAGATGCTGGTGAAAACCACAATGAGATACCAACAAACCCATAAGAGTGGAAAAGATTAAAAAAAAAAAAAAGATAAGTGCTGGTGGGGATGTGGTGAAAGGGGAACTCTCCTACATTGTTGGTGGGAATGTAAATTGGTCTAGCCACTGTGGAGAATAATATGGAGGTTCCTCAAAGATCTTCAAATAAAACTACCTTATGATCCAGCAATTCTACTCCTGGGTATCTACCCAAAGAACAGGAGAATGCTCAGTCAGAAAAGTGTTTGCACAACTATATTTATGGTGGCATTATTCACAATTGCTAAAACGTGGAACTAACCCAAATGTCCACAGATGAATGGGTTGAAAATTGTGGCACATATACTCCATGGAATACAATTTAGCCATAAAAAAAAGACCCTGGCATTTGATAGAAAGTGGATGAACATGGAAGATTTATGGCTGAGTGAAGCAAGTCAGGCTATGAAACAGAGACATCGTATGTCTCCACTTAACATATACTGTCTGTCTACACTCTATGGTAGAGACTAAAAGAATGGAGGACATAAAAGCACTGAAAATTGTTATGGACACTGGGGACAAAGTGGAAGGAGAGTGAGAGAGGGGAAGAGAGCAGGAAGGGAAATTTGGGAAAAAAATGAGAAGACATTTGTGGGGGGAACCAGCAGTTGGCGTAATGACTGTGTCACTGGACTCCCATGTAGGCAACTGTGGTTCAAGTCCCAGACCCAGTGGCTTAAACTCACACCAGGTGTGTGTGTGTGCATGCCCAAGATCCCGAGAGAAGAATGGAGGAGAAGGGATTGTAGTATGGCCATCCCCCTGGGAGGTGATTCTTCGCTTTCTATCTCTCTGTGTCTCTCTGTCTTTTCTGGAAGCACATGCACCCTATAGCAAAAACCTGTCAAAAAAAAAAAAAAAAGACATTTGTGGGACACAGATATGGTTTGTTGCCTGTTGGTGATGTCATGTATTGTATTCTCAACTTGTCTGCTGTGTGACATATATCACGTTGGGTAAATTCTCTTTACAAACTAAATGACGTATAACAATTAAATGTATAAATTATAAGAAAAAAGAAATCCCTACACAGAAGGCAAGACTTCTTTTTAATTGCAAAAAAAAAAATATTTCACAACAGTTAAAATGAAATTTCTCATCCTTTTCTTTTATCAAGAACTGCAAGAGGAGACAAGATTTGTAGTTTACTAAAATTTTGTCCCATTCTAACTCCTAACATTTTAATTATTTTTAAACCTAAAAAAACATTAAAACAACTATATTCTGGGGGTGGGGAGAAAGGGATGTGCTTAAATCTGACTTCTCTCTGTTCTATCCTGGTAAAAGAAGAGTCAGTATTTCTGGAACAGGTATAAATTGACAGGCATTCTTTTTTTGGAGATTATTATTTTGTTTGACTAACAGTAAACATGTACAATTTTTGAAAATGTTAATCTGCCACCATTCCACTCTGATTTTTATAAAATAATCAGGTGTGAAATCTCAGCTGACTAAAGAAAAAGAACAAATACTAAAGCATCCAGACGAGTTAGTTACAGGTGCTCTAAGCAAAATAAAGCTTCCTCTTCCCTGTCCTCATGCCTGAAGCCCTTTTGCCTTGTATTTTCATGATCTACAGGCTTCTGTGAAAATGAAGAATTTATCTTCTGTGGAGATAAAATAAAGTTAAATGATATAGGTAAAATCCTCAATAAATAATGGCACTTCGTATCATTATTTCTGCATTTACTTCCCTCTGCCATTCCTCACTCTCAAAGGTGGGTCATACAGCTAGATCTTTCCAAAGTAAATGCGTTAAGTACCGATAGCAGGACCAGGGGATGTATACAGACAAAAAATACTTAACTTAGCTGTCACATATTTATACTAAGGTATATTTGAGTATTGTATAACTAATAGGTCAATCTAATGATTTAATAAATACGTTCCTACTATTTTAAAAATTAATAAAAATAGTATATTTTCAGAAGCATACAGTACAGGTGGTATGTGACTATAACAAAAATCATGAAGATGGCACACGAATAACTGAAGTTTGGGAAACAGTGAAATAAAGCATAAGCAATGGCTTCACAACCTAAAGAGTGAGGAAGTAGTATCACATTTTGGAAGAGGCAAATCTCTCACCTACTAGATTACAAATTCTTTGAGGGCAAATAGTCTTTATCTGCCCAAAATTGAACCCTACGTAGATCTGGAGAAAACTAAAACAGCATGTCAGTGTGCATTTGCATGTGTGTGTGTGTGTGTGTGTGTGTGTGTGCGTGCACGCACGCACATGTGCACGCACATGGGTATGAAACTCTTCAGGCTATATAGTCCCCTTATTCAGGTAGTTCTTGATGAAGAAAAAGTGTTATGGAGGAGCAAATGTAGAAAATCCCTTAAGGGACAGCAACTGGCGTAGTGCTTAAGGCATTGGATTCTTACATGGCCAACTGTGGCTCAAGTTCGGGACCTGGTGGCTTGGTTTTTCACTTTCTCTCTCTCTCTCCCTCACTCTCTCCCCATCCCCCATCTCTTTTTTTTTTTTTTTTTTTTTGGAGTGGTTTTTGCTATAGGGAGCATGCGCTCACCAGAAAAATAAAGAGAGACAGAGAGACAGAAAGTGAGAAATCACCCCCCAGGGGGAATGGCCACACCTCAATCCCTTCTCCTCCATTCTCCTCTCGAGATCTTGGGCACGTATGCACACGCACCCAGCATGAGTTTGAGCCACCGGGTCCAGGACTTGAGCCACGGTCTACTATGTGGAAGTCCCACAACATAGCCATTACACCAATTGCTGGTCTTTCCCCCATCTCCTGATGGTGAATTAAAATAATGATAATAAATAAAATTAAGTAAATACTTCTTTAAAAAAAAAAAAGAAAGAAACCCTTAAACTGTCATTTATACCTTACTCAGCATCAATGTTTTCTTATTATAGAGAAAAATTTATAAATATGAGACAGCCTTTAGCAGTATTTAAAATTCATACAGGAAAAAAAGTCAAATTACTAGTAAAGGTGAGAAAACTTTAGCCAACTCCCTTCACAACATTGAAAAAGTTCAAGTGCACAGTAGCACTCAATAATTTTTTTTGAATTTTAAATGAATAGTTGATATGGATGTTATTCCTACTAATAACCGAAAGCTTCATAATCACAGAAAATATAGACTGAAGAGCCCTTATAGCTCTGCAATAGGGGAGAAGGGTCAACAATAACAATGGATAATTACGATTTCTGTATAAATGGTGCTAAAATAGAGTTACAATAACAGCCTATTAATAGGAATGTCACAAAACTCTATGGAGGAAAGATTTTCAAAGCATGTGTACATTTTATAGCCATGGCGATATATTACCCAGTCATGTATATTATGGATATAATTGATTAGAAGAGTACAATGTAGTCATTCTTATATGATTGTATGACAAAAAAGTCAGAATTCAGGGATTTTTGAAAAGTAAATTTAATATTTATTTTGCTTTCTTTAACATGATAAAGCCAAGGTTAATATTATGGTGAATTTAAAAAAAAAAAAAAAGATTCCTACTGGGTCTGAGTACTTGTATAACATTCTGAAGACACTCAAAGGCAGCGTAGATAGTGACCTCGTGGAGCGGCACTTCCATAGCACTGCAGTGGTGGCGGGGCCAAGTGGAGTCTGGGTTCTGCAAGGAGGGTGGGGTTACTCTACACTCACAAAGAAACAGACGAGCCAGTCTTCATGCATTCACTAACTGTATGTGCTCACAGGCACAAGTACATTTTTATGCTATCCCCTCCCAAAGAACATCTGTGCACTTTCTATTTTTCAAAGACAGAAATTTTGAGGATTTGGATTACAGAGCTCTGTGAATTATGACATTTTTCACTGAGTATTATAATTATTTGGTTACAAGCCCTTGAAGGCAGGAAATGCCTAGTTCATATTCCATTTCTAGTTGTCTAGGTCATGCCTGAAATACTGCCAGCATCCAGTAAATGTTTGTTGAATGAATAAATGAGCTTAGGAACTTAGGAAAAAATGTTTCAACCCCTCAAGAGTTGTTAGAAGAAGGGTTAGAAGAGGAATAAAAAAGAGAACTTCTGAGATCTAAGTCAGGCCATTTATTCACTGGCCTCTTCTGCCTACCAAGCCCAGCAGGGAACCAGCCAGCAGTGATGTCACCTGCAGAACCTGCTGGGCTAGTCCAGTCAGCAAGTGAGGTGAGTCTGATGACTCGTGTAAAACACGGTAAACTTGGCTAATAGATTCCCAGAACTGTGCGACTGCTCGCTTCATCCAGATCTGCCCCGGTAAACTAGATCTAATTATGCACCATGGAATTTGGCCAGCTACACTGAGATTATAGCATGTTGAGAAATTCGAACTTTACTCACCCATAAATAAAAGCATTAGGATCAAGGCCACTCCTTATTGCTTCTGGATAATTTTTGATTTTTTTTTTTCAAAACAAAAACAGTTGCACTAGAGTCTGCTTTAACTTTCTTCTCAAGTAGAAGGAAATAAGACAAATTGGTTCAGTTCGTTAATGTAAATGGTCTTCAAATGTTTTTCTTGAAATAACTGTAATTTACTGCATAATAATATCTGGAATAGAAATAAAATACAGCACCCTTTAATAAGATACAAAATAAATATAATGCAGTTTCTGGTGCTTTTTTTTTTTTCAGTCAAATTTTAACTGACGAAGTTCAAAGCCCTCAGTACTCAGCAGCAGATCCAGTAGATCCATTTACAACAGAAGGCCACACAGTGTCACATGTTCATGCACAACCAAATGAATTTTAATTCTCCTTTTGAATCAGATTTTCCTGGGAAACACGATTTGTCTTAGGGTTATTATGCTTCTAGGATATAGTTGAGAAGCTTTCTGGGTACACTGGGGCCAAGTCCTCTCTATAAACAAACTAGGGGTTGACTGGAGTCGTTTTTTTACTTTGAAAATGGTTCACAGTAGAAACCATTAGCTGTTCTCAACAGCTGGACCATTTCCATGTGCATTACAACTGGGTTAACCTTCGACACGACTGTAGGATCACACCTCCTGAAGAGATTTGGGTCCACTCCAACGTGTCCTCTCTTCACCGCCTCAGATTATCTTCGACGTTCTTTTCTTTTCCTCCTGGTGTACCTCATTTGCACCAAAGGAAATCACTTTGCAACGTACCTTCTCTTTATCTGTTCCCTCGCTTAGACCATCAACCTCTCTGCTACATCTGTTTCCTGTTTCCATGAGCATGTTTTGCTCTGGCAGTCAGATATTTAGTGGAAGAAAAGGAGCAGCACGAAAATCACAGGAATGACTGACAACAGGTAGAAAAGACAACGTTGATTCTACTGTCAGTGAGAATCAGTAGGAAAAATGCTGGAGTAAAAACCTGGGAATCCACTCTGGGACTAAGGCTTTCCTTGTGGCCTGGATGTCAGGGGATTCTTGACTCAGTTTCCTGTTCTACATAATAAGGGAGTTAATATTAGCGCTATCTGACTGAAACGTCCATAAGATCAACTCAGACTTCCCAAGAGTTTTATGCTGCATTAATTCACCAACTGTGTAACTGGATTAATGTAAATGTGTTGGCTGATGATGTTAGACACCCAGCCGCAAGGGAGGCATTCATGCATACCTGCCGCCTTTAACGTTCTTTGTATTCCTGCCTGACTCGGACTAACCGAGGAATATTCTGGGGTTCATGCCTCAATGTACAGAGTTCACACCTGTGAACAATCCTGCCATCTTCAGTGTACTCTGTGCAGTTACTCGGATTCATAACGTTTCTTCCTGTCTGCTTCGTTAACAGTTTCATGCTGGCCATGATCTCTTCACCCCATAGGCAAGCCTCACAGCCCCAGCTAGACTGGTTGTTTGCATCTGGATCCAACTAGAATTGAATAGGGTAATAACTTTTGAAATCAGAGTGACTTTCTAAACACTGACACTAGAATGAAATAGGTACTATACCTTGAATTTGTTGTTTTACTTCTCTGGGACTCCATTTCCTAATTTGTACAGGAGAGGCATTACAATCTACATTGTAGGCTGCTCAGGAGGAGTAAAAGAGATTCTACATGGTCATAGAATTTGCCTTCATCATTACAGTTAGGATGGTGTGTTCGTTTCCTATAGCTGCGATAGCAACATATTGCAAACTGAATGTCTTCAAAAACAGAAATGTATTATCTCGCAGTTCCGGAGGCTAGAAGTATGAGGTCAAGGCATTGGCAGAGTCACGCTCGCTCTCAAGGCTCTAGAGAAGAAACTGTTCCAGGCCTCTTTCCTAGCTCCTGGTAATCTGGGGGCTGCGACAGCCTAAGTCCAGTCTTTACATGGCATTCTTCCTATGCATGTTTGGGGACTGTGACAGCCTAAGTTCAGTCTTTACATGGCATTCTTCCTATGCATGTCTCTGTGGCCAAAATTCTCCTTCTTATAAAAACATCAGTCATATCGGGGCTCATTTTACTTCAGTATGACCTTATTTTAACTAATTACGCCTGCAATAATCTTATTTCAATATAAGGTCACATTCTGAGGAACAGGTGGTTAGGATTGCCACATACGAATTTTGACGTAAAACAAATGAACTGAGAACATTTTGAAGGCCTAACTATTTGGTAAGTTTCACTTAGGGGCTAAAAATCCAGATAAACCATGCAGTATGCATACCTAATTACTTAGTCATCTCTTTCTATAATCTGTTCTTTTTTTTTTTATGTCATTACTTTTATTTTAATGTCCAGAACTTGCAAGGCAAGGACCAGAGCTTCCTTCCAGACACAAAAATTTTATAAATCCTCAATTGGTTGGTGAGACCAATAGGGGTACTTCTTCTTGTCTAATGCGGTTTCTGGGAAGACTTCATTCAAGTCCTCAATGGTCATCTGATCAAATGGAATTATGCTCTTCATCTTCTCCAGCTGCTTCTGATATTCTTCAATCCTGGCCTTTGAGAGGGACACAAACTCAGCACAGCTTTTCACATTTTCGTTTTCTTCAGCGTCCACAGTGTATTTATCCTCCGGCACAGGAACCTTCAGGGCATTAAACTTCTTCTCGAAGTCATCCACCAAGCCCGCCTTGGCCACGTTGGCCTTGTAGTACGCCCAGTCGATAGCTGGCGGGGTCTCGGGTAGTGCAGCCAACCTGGAGGTGAGGGTCTCGTTCCACGTTTTCAGGGAGTTAGCAACAGCCTTTTGGTTTTGGGGTATTATTTCCCCAAAAACTACCCAGTCAATAGTTTTTAGGGCAAGTTTTCGCCCAGCCATCTTGCAATTCTCCACCGACCGCCTAATCTGTTCTTTTATGAGGCTAGATATTATCCAAATATCTACCACAACCTTCTACTTCACATTGATTTGGGTTACCTGTATTTCCTTATTCAAAAAGTAGAGAAAAATAATGCTGACTTCTACCACCTAAAAGCTTACAATCAAGATTATAATAACAATGCTACCCATACAAATGTTAAAAGATGGACTGAACAGCTATCTCACAATTAAGATATACCAAAGAAGTAACAGTTGAATCATGTGTTACGTGGATGTGAGTGGTACAAGAGCTGAAAGAAAAATCATACTAGTTCCACAAAGACATATTTACTGGTGGCATTTGAAGAGGTTCTTGCAGAGAGAGAAAAGGAAAAGCTCAGACAAAGTTAAACTGCTAAAATGGCATGGCCTTTTTTGGGTGAGATATTCATGATTCTAGTTCCATTGAACAACAAAAATCTAAAGCTTTAGATCTTTTTTACTTTTTTAATTTTTTAAAAATTTTGCCATAGGACATGTGTGCCCCTCAGAGAAAGAGAGAGAGATAGAAAGTTATAAATCACTCCCAAGGGGGAGGGCCAGGCCATGATCCCTTCTCCATTCTCTTCTTGGGAACTTGGGCATCCAAGCATATGCATCTGGCATGATTTTCAAGCCACCAGGTCCAGGACTTGAAGTGCCGCAGTCATGTGGAATCCATCACCTTAATCACCACATCACTTACTGGCTCTAGATCCCTTTTATAGCTCTTTGCCTTAACAAATTAGATGTGGCTTTCTGTTTTTTGACATTGTAAATATTTTCAATGTCTTGTCTCCTAGAATTATCTGTCAAAGAAATTCTAAAACTCATTAAGAATATTGACAACAAAAAATATTCATGTTTTTCTTGGAAATATTCTCAGAAAAATAAATGTCAGGATCTCTTCCAAAGCAAGTTCTAGTCCAAAGTAATCAGGTCAACAATGAAACCACTATTTCTTAAATACTGACTATGCATATACTATGCCAGATATTGCTTATAATAAAAAAGAGTGAAATTATTTTTTTAATTTATAATTGAAGTAATTGGGGAGTTATTTTATAATTTTATTTCATTTTATTATTTTATTTTATTTTGAAGTTAACCAGAGAGAGACAGGGAGAGAAAGAAAGTGAGAAAGCAAGCTGCCAGGTTCAGGACTCGAACTGGAGTCAGTCATGTGGGAATCCTGCTGCCTTAACCACCATGCCACCTGCCAGCCCTGAAATAATTGGCTTTTAACTTTAGAAATAGATTACATACATTCACAAACTCTGCCTTTACCAAATGATGGATTTATTCTAGATACTATTTCTGTCATTTAACTGTATCAGAATTGTTAACCTATAACACTAATCTATGACCTTATGAGTTGTTAACAGAAGAAATTATATCTCAGTATATCAAACTTGTTTCTCAAAGATTAAACAAGAAAAAGAATAGGATAAACTTAAAATAATAAAGTCTCATTGTAGCCCAAGAGGTAAAAGTAGAATTTATCCCAATCACAGACATATAGAATAAGTCAGATATTTGAGTTACACTCTCTTAAAAAGAAAAGATTTTGGATGCTTTGGTTAGCAGGCTGGGACCACACGGGAGGCCCAGGCTCAATCATTGGCTCAATCTAAAGGCTGGGCACAGTGGTTTGCTTCTATAATCCACGCAACTCAAGAGACTGAGGTAGGTGGATCTTACATGGTAAGACCCCACCTTTAAATAAATAGTAAATAGACTTTAAAAACAGGCAGATGACCAATTTAAGTAGGATCCACCTTTTGATTTCTTTAAGGTCATAGCTCTAGAATAGGCTTATTAAATTGGTACTGGCACAATAATTAAACTAGCAGAGACTTAATTATTTTAATAAATAAGTATTTAAGTAAATGAACTCATGAATTCCACTGAAGTAATGTGGAGAAAAGTTGAATTTCACATATTTCCTCTAGGTGGCAAACTCATCCCTCCTACAGTGTATTCCATTTCCTGTTTCTTAAACTGACATAAGAAAATTATGCTGAAGTAAACCCATAATGCTATGTCTGTTTTAGTGCAGAAATAAGCAACTACTTACTTTTTCTCCAAAAAGTGTTTCCTTTATTCTTACATCTTTAAGCTTCTTATTTTATTTAAAAAAATCAATTACAGAAAGTTATTAAGAAATGTGATTGGGTAAGTACTATAAAGAAATAGAATTGTGCAAGAAACTTTTCAAAGTACTTGTGCAAGACCGTTTTGAACATTTTCAATTTTCATGGCCTACTAAGAAAAAGATGCTTTGCTGTAAGTTTATTATT